ACATTTCCCTTAGTAGTTTAAAACTCTTTCTATGTCAGTATAAAATACTGTATGAAAAAGGAAGACCTTTTTGCACGGAAGCAAGAATACAGCACTTTGAGTTTGGATTTCGGGGGTTTTTTTGTGTGTTTTGATTTGGGATTTTTAAATCAAAACGTATAGTTTATGTAAGTTATGTGAGTAGAAACCCTTTCTTTCCTTGAGTTCCACATCATTGTCTTCACCCCTTGCCCCCTCCATTTCTAGGATCTTTTTGAACATTTTTTCCCCTGCTACTGCTTTCTCTTAGCTAACCCAATAGGTGGTTTCCAAAACACAAATGTTTGGCCCATTTCTTTAGACTTTGCTTGTGCAAAGGCTCTCACGGTAACATTCTTCTTCCTCCAGTATCAAGGTACGTTCCCCACATTTTTGGGGTTAGATGGGGTGGCAGCTGCCCCATGAGGCCCTGCTGAGGGAGGGAGGGGGTGCAGAGCCATTGTGAGACAGGAGCTGCCACAGTGGCTTGGGGTGTCATTCCCACCTGGGATGGGGTGGGATGACGGCACCTGAGCACTGTTGTGTGGTAGGGAGCATGGGCTGTGAGGGATAGATGCTGTCACCTTTACAGCTGTAGCTTTTCTGGTTCATTATGAACTGCAGCACTTCAGGTCCTAAAGAAAATGAGTTCTGCAAAGATTTACTGTCCCTAGCAAGCATGGGGCAATACCTCTGCTGGCTAGGAGTTTTGTCTCTGGTCAGGGTGTCTGTCTGGAACCACAGAGGTTCACTTGACTTTTGTGTCTTTGCAGTGTTTGGGATTGCTCCATCTGTTGTGCAGGTGGTGACTATGTTTTCAAAAGGTTGAGGTGAATGAAAGCAGCTGCTCTCTTGAAGGTTTGCCAGAGTCAATCTCCTAACAAATCCATCATTTGCTTCCTTCTTAATTGCAAAGAAGACAGAGAGGCAGGCCAAGACAGTAGGTGAAGAGGGAGAAGATGACTGACATCACCAAGGAGGTATGGATTAGCCAGCAAACCATCTGCAAATGAGGTTTACTACTAAAACTGCTTGATGTATGGTGGGCCTGATAGATTGAAGAGAAGAGTGGAAAGGGTTGAACAAAACACTGGCTCAGTGCTGAAGCAGGGGGAGGAGGAGCAAATGAAGTACAGGACATCCCCAAAAGAATATGAAAGCTGAAGAAGTGGAAGGTTGACATCACTAACGAAGCGAGGAGACCAGCAGCATCAAAAGCTGTCTTGAAACTTGGCTGGAGTGATTGTAAAAGCCCACAATGAGGAAACTTTAAGATTTTCTTAAACCATGAAACTTCTTAGTTGTTTAGTCCTTTCCTCTCCCTTCCCACCACTGCTACTGATGCTTCAGAAGAATGTTGATCTGACTCAGAAGGATTTCCTCCCACTTGTTTCTGTAGGCATTTTTTTGTTGCATCAAACAAAGGAAGGCACTGGCAGCACGTTTGTTGGGTCCTGCTAGTAGCACACCCACATTTTATTCCTTCTAAAAGAGCTGATTGCCGAAACACTTACACTTTTGTAGATGAAGAATTCAGCCAAAGAGAAAATATGCTAATAATTTTCTAAGCTGCTAATGACTGTAGTTTACTAAAGTGCAGCAGCATTGTAGAAGTGACACTAATTGCCTTGTTGCATCTTGACTTAGACAGAAATGAACGCACATTCAGAGGCTGTGTAAATGTAACAGCAACTTCTGGAAAATCTGGGTCTAGATGAGTAGTTCAAGGGCATCACTGTGAATGCCATATGACTGACTACAATTAGGTTTGAATGCAGCCCTTTACCCATTCACGTCTTTGTAATGGTGCAGGCCTTTAAAAGTCTTCTACCTGTAGGTGGCAAATACAAAGCTGCTGGTGCAGGCTTATCAAGGAGTAGAAAAAGCAGCCCCCTGGAAAGCTCACCTCCTTCCACCAAACAGCTGAGGTGTGGGGGTCTGTATGTATCCCACTGCCCCCCTCCTCCAAACTGCCTCCCATCCATGGTGGTTCATCTCAACATTTGCCATTTTCCTGCACCCATTCAGTTGACCTGGCCAGGTGATGTGGCCTGGACTGTCTTGAAAAGCTTTGTTTTGCCATCTGCTTCTGTCCTTAGATATTTCAGTTCTCTTCTTCAAGTAATTCATCAGTAGATTGATTTCTGCTCCTCGCAGGAGTGTCTGGAGTATAATTTTCATTGCCACAACCTCACAAAGTTGTCCCCAGGTTCTGGCAGAATGTTTTGAGGAAAAAAATGGGTGGTTCTTTTAAATGTCATTTTATCATTTCCTAGCAACTCTCACTGGCTCCTCTGCTATGCTGGGAGGCCTTCTTCATGCTCAGTTACTAATCCCTAGCATAGAAAGGCTCCCCCAATAAGAAGCAGTATTTTCTCATAGGTTTTAGTGCATAATTGTCTGTTTTGCTACATAATTACATGTCCCACACTAATTGCATAGACACATGCACTTCCAGAATGACATGCTGTCACAAGTGCACGCACTGATTAGGCATGTGCCTTAATTGAGAATTATGGATTGCAGCTATGGTGAGAGTGTGGGCTCTTACTTGCTACGAGTTTTAGGCAAAAAACAGCGCCTGCGGTTCTCTTGCTGAACTTGAATATCCAAATATGATGTGAGCTGGAGTGGTTCACACAGAGCAGTGGTGGAAACAGACGTGCTTTAGTGAATGCAATCTCTGGGACAATCAGGTGTATTTCCAGCTCCATGGAGTGCGGGTACAAGAAGCACAGGAGCAAGAAGCCCTTCTGCTCTGGCTTGGCTCTGCAGGGAGATGTGTTTGGGTGGCAGGAGAGCATATTTTCATTAACTGATTTTCTGTCCATTCAAGATACCTTTCTGAAGCTACAGAGGACATAGTTAGCTACCAATGTCACTAGTGGTTTTGATCTCTCAGATTAGGAGCAAATATAAGTGGAAGCACAATTGCATACCCATGGTTTGTGTAAAAGGGGACAGCTATCAGTCCTTGACTTTGCACATGCTGCTCTAGGTGCCACCATACTCATTTTTGCAGGGAAGATGTAACCCCAAATATCAAAAATATATTGTAGTCTTAAATCCTGTCACCTGAATACCTGTTGTGTACATGGAGCTTTTCCGGCAAATCAAGATCAATACCTTTTCAGGGTAAAAGAAGCCTTTATCTATGATTCTTTCATTCCATCTGTGCCTACTTTACAAAGTAAGCACTTTTTATACTTTGTATTTGAGCATCTGATTTGTTGAATATATCATAAACAGGACTAAAGAAACTGACCATATTTAGATATTTAAATGAGAAAAAATGCAATATGCTTTAAGAAGAGAACTGCTATGAACTTCAGCTGGAATATTTCTAAGTTCAACAGAAAGTGAAGTGAAGCAAGTAAAACCTGTGTGAAGTTTGTCAAGTAAAATATGTAGACAAAAGTAGGTTGTTTGGTTTTAAAGATTTTTTTTTTTCCCGGTGTTTAAGCACAATTAGGAAGAAAATATGTAATGGTTGAAGCCAGCATTGTCTTCAGCTGTGTACAACTACATAATTAGACAGAGAGCCTTTCAGAGTGTTTCCAGAAAGAGCTCTTCTGGGTGACTGGCTGTAATTCCTTAACATGTGTCAAATGCATTTGACTGCCTGTATAAATCCGGTGACAATGTGATTGTTCAGGTCACTGGTAAGTGCCATTGTGCTCCTTGTTCATCATCTTCTGCTGCAGTGTGTGTATGCTGGGTAAGGGACAGCAAGGCAGGGGTGACTACCTGACAATGGTGCTCTTGTTGGTGGCCACTGAGTTCACGGGGTTTGATCAAGGCCATTGGCTTTGGAAGTCAATGCCTCACACATAGAAACACATATGGAAAGCAGGACAGAGAGCTCAGGTACCACCTTTCTGTTTTAAAGGGTGAGTCAAAGTGAATAATGTATCACTTTTGGTTTACATTATTTAGGAAAGAGAGCAAGTGCTTTCTGAAGAACCGTGTTTAAAATGTCCCTTTTGTTTTTGGTGTTTTGGATTGGTTTTGCCTTTTAGCAGTATAGAATTATTGAGAATTTAATTGACATGTTACCAACTTACTCAGAAGTTCCTTCAGACTTTAGTCTCAGTAAGTTCATTAAGCTGCTTGACCAGTAAAATTTGCCTGTAGAGGAGCATAAATAGTATTTATGTCAATAACCTCCTTGTGACCAGAGGCAACACATCAGGGAGAAACATGAATCCAGTAGATCTGCACTACAGATCAAAGAAGTGGGAGGGAGGATACCAGACCATACTGTGGTCCCTGTCATGCTCTTTGTGGTGTTCTTCATGCTATGAGAGTTACAGATGCTTCCTGTTTCCCAAGTGCAATTGTGTGTGGGTTTCCATGTGGGATGGAGAAAAACCCCATGTTTTTCCAGCACCATGTAATTCTATTCTATGTTTGATGACCAGGATTGAGCATTGAGAATTGAACATTCTTTACCATTGCCACATCATTTTTCCTGACTTGGTGTGAGTCACCAACTCTTTCAGCATATTCACATCTGTTTCTGAAAAGCACAGGCAGTAATACTTTTCATCAGTAGAAGCATTATGAGATTTCCTTTAGGTGTGGAAAACATTTCTAGAGTACCAAGATGATAGGTGTTATGTACTGAATGTGCAAATCTTTGAGGAATCTAAACTGCCAAGTTACTTTTAACTTAGAAATTCAAAGTTTATTCCTAGTCACAGGCCAAGACACAGGCATGAGATAATGACAAAGTGAGGATGGTAAGCAAGTGGGAGATTCTTAAATGAAAGTTTGTTGTTGTTTTAGTACCTTTTCCAGCATATGGTAAGGTAACTTCCTATTTTTTGTATTAATGGCTTGCCTTGCTTTCCCATGCTTTGAGGGAATGCTTTAATCTCAACTTTAAGAAGTGCTAGATTTGTTTTCCAGATGGTGTTTGCTCTGCAAAAAAATTAGGCGTTCGTTTTTTAAGACTGTAATTTCTCTCTCTTTTATTTTAGAAATCTTCCAGAATCCCTGAGGATGACATCAGGTTAAGAAAAAACAGAGACCAAAACAGTGCCAATTTCTTGGAGCCATCTACTGTGCTTGCTACAAAGGAAGAGAAAATGGAAATTGAAGTTCCAGTTTCTGAACATAAAAGCATCACCACAGTGGCTTCACCACATCCCATAGACAATCCGACCCACTTCTTTTCACCTGCTTCCAGCCGAAATGGACTTAGGGATAGGCATGAATCTCTGGACAGTGAAGTTGCTAAAGAGATCAGATACCTAGATGAAGTGCTGGAGGCAAATTGTTGCGATTCTGCTGCAGACAGTACATTTAATGGGACATCCTCCCCTGAACCAAGTGCAGTCTCCATTATGGATGGTTCAGGAGCATCTGCTAATGTCAATAAAGAGTCAGTATCTAGTGAAAGGGAAGAAAATGTAGCAGACAAGCAGGTGTCCTTGGAGGTTGAGCCATGTGAAGCTAATATAACAGATGAGAACCTGAAATCTAATGGCCATTCCTTGGGTGGTCTGAAAGAAGATACTAGAGAGAGTCTGAAGGTGCCAGGAAGTCCCACTTCTTCAAACAGTTCTAGAAGATCCTCTAAGGATGGAGAAACAACTCTTACAACCCTTAAGAAAGAGGCAAAGTTTGAACTGCGAGCCTTCCACGAAGATAAAAAGCCCTCAAAGCTCTTTGAAGATGAGGAAGAGAAGGAAAAATACAGAGTCCGCAAAGTGAGACCATCAGAAGAAATGATGGAACTTGAAAAAGAAAGAAGGGAACTCATTAAGAGCCAGGCTGTCAAGAAAAACCCCAACATTGCTGCCAAATGGTGGAACCCTCCTCAGGAGAAGCCCCTGGAGGATCAACTGGATGAAGAGCATCTGGAGTCTCACAAGAAGTACAAGGAGCGCAAGGAGAGGCAGCAGCAGCAGCAAGGTGCAACACCAACATCCCCCAAACAGGTCAGCTGCTCCTTTGTATCCCCAGAGCCAGTCAATGTCAAGAAAGAAGATATTGTCACAGAGCAAATTGACTTCTCAGCTGCCAGGAAGCAGTTCCAGCTGATGGAGCATTCAGGTCCATCTCAGGGTCAGGCCCCACCAAGGCGGTCAGTAACACCCAAAATGTTCTCTGTCAAACCCTTCTACAAAAGCCTCAATTCTCCTTATGTGGACAGGCCGATGTCGTCTGTGACGAGACCCGTTTCAGTGTGCGGGCAAGCTGGACAGCTTGAGGGTAACAACACCGCGGTTGTCAAAGCACAGAAAGTCTCCTGTAGCTCAGAAGATGACAAAAGCACTCAGGCTACCACAGTTGACACAGCAAGAGACCTACCTTGCAGTGATAGCCCCAGAGCTGGACCAGCTTCAAAACTGTGGGCAGAGGATGGAGAATTCATGAGTGCAAGGGCGGTCTTCACAATGGTGAAGGATGAGGGACAGGGAATTCTAGATCACTTCCCAAAGTCAGGCAGTGCCTCTTCGCCGCCAGAGGAGCTTGACTCTGGTTTGGATGACTTGTCTGTCAGGTCTCAGGACACCACCGTCTTGGAGACCCTTTCCAATGACTTCAGCATGGATAACATAAGTGACAGTGGTGCCTCCAATGAGACCATGAGCGCCCTGCAGGAAAGTTCTCTAGCAGATTTCTCTCTGCCACAGACCCCGCAGGCCGAAACTCCTGCAGAGTGCAGGGCTGAAGGCATCTCCAAGTCTTTCAGTGACCCAGGCTGTGATTCGCCTTCCTCTGCCTTGGCAGACTCCATGCTGATGGACGACCAGCTGGACTACCACGCTGGCCTGCTGGTACAAAATGCCATCCAACAAGCCATAGCTGAGCAGGTGGATAAAGGAAACCCAAAGGAAGAAGAAATCCCAGCAGAGAAAGAGGTCTCAGCCAAAGAGCAGCCAGCCAGCACTGGGCCAGCTCCAGCCTCCAAGGAGCATCAGAACCCAACGTTTGAGCCACCCCAGGTGTCTTCACCAGTTCAAGAAAAAAGGGACACCATACCAAAGACTTCAAAAGAGGAAGACATAGGACTCAGGGAAGGGAAGAGTTTGCAGCAGTCACCCATGTATTCAGCCAGCCAGCCATTCCTTGTGGAAGAAAACAGGCATGAAGTCAGCTATTTCAGCAAATATTCAGAGGCAGCAGAGCTTCGGAGCACCGCCTCCATCCTGGCCACACAGGAGCCCGAGGTGACTGTGGGCCCTTTCAAGTTACGGTCGAGGAAACAGCGGACTTTGTCGATGATCGAAGAAGAGATCAGAGCTGCCCAGGAACGAGAAGAGGAGCTGAAGAGGCAGCGGCAGGGTTTGCAAATGGCACCGAGCCCTGTTACAAAGAGTGCACCACCCATGCCCACCAGAACCGTGTCTTACAAAACTGCACCAGGTAAGAGCCCAAAGTGTCAGAGCAGAAGTGACATGTGACTGAAGGGTCAGGTATGGTTTAGTTTTATGTAATTTTTAAATGAAAATATTGTTTTCCACAGGGTGGGAGGGCAGATGACTTCATCTGCCTGGAAACTGCATGGGACAGCTTAATTTTCTGGCTGTGAGCAGACCTGCGCAAGGTTCTGGATTTTCACAAATACATGCAGAGATGCTGATCATCCTTACTAAACCCCATTCTGTGTTCACCCATGCCACATAGTAGCATGACATGTCCATTGCAGTGCTGCTCAGACCACCCACTGAAATTTAGCATCATCTCAAGGAAGCACAGCAGCAGTTTTTACAGTTGTGTGGCTATTTGAAAGACAAATATCCAAGGTCATCCTTACTAGGTTTCCTGTTCTCTTGCATGTCATTAGGGGAAGTGCAAAATTAGTGGAGATGTGCAGATTTTGGGGTATGAATTAGATATCTTTTTCTGTGTGTTCTGCTTTCTGTTTTGAGGTCTCGGTCTTAACGAGCTTTGTAAAATGATGAATCTTGTAAAATGATATCCAGAGCTATGAGTTGCCATGTATTTTAGCTGGTGTTATTCACTACTGAATTAAGCAAGCAACACAAACAAGTTGTTCAATAGATTCAGTGGAAGTCATCTTGACCAGTCAGTTTCTGGTTTCTTTTACTGACATTCACAGCAGTTACAGCATATCTGTCTCCTCCTTTCCCTTCTCAAGAAATAATGTCAAGCACTGATGCCTCCTAAATCTAATACAGAAAAGAATACATTTAAAAAACCCCAGAAACACACACCAGGCTTATTTATATGTAGTGATTTTTATTAAGCATATACCTGCATATGCTTTGCAAGTGCCTGTAAGATTTATTAACAGTGATCATTGTGAAAAAGTATTCATTCTACCAAAAGTACTTAAATGCTGTCTTTATTTCCACTGGTGTAAATACAAGCCAGTGGTAGTAATTTTCTCTTGAAAGTCATGGTAAGTTTGAATCAGATGTAGATTTAACCCATTACTCAATATGATTGTGAACTTGGAGTTTTATGGAGCACATGAAGAATAAATACTTAGTTTAGTTTCTTCTGCAAAGAGGATGATATTAACATGTATTTTTTGAAAAAAAATATAGCAAATACCAGTCTTTTCTTTGAAGTGCTGTTGTTATAACTCCTCTGGTACAGCATTTTTCATAAAGATCCTCTGCAATCTGAGGTGTTCTGAGAAATGTCTGACAAGACATGAGATACAGGGCACTACGGACGTCAGTTAGGAAGACTTGTTTCATAAAGGTGTGCTCATGACTGTGTTCAAAACCAGCATCATCTGTAGCTGAAAGTGCTCAAAATGGGATAGATAATGATTGTATTTTACTCAGAAGTGGTGTTGGATGGGCTGCTGACACTAATGCTTTTTTTAACAGAGCTTCTGGGAAAACAACGTACTTCTGCTTTCTCTACACACAAGGCATTTATTTTGTGTCTGTAAAAATGTTTGTCATAAATTACATTCTAGAGAAAATTATAAACTTCTGTTTATAATGAATCATTCCAGACAGTTTCCTTTAAATGTCCAACTGCCATATGTTTGAGAAAGAAAATTGGGATCTCTTAGCCAATGACTCAAGCTACTGCAATTTGCAGCCGATGACAAGGCAAAGAAATAATTTCTAGGAAAATATGAATATGTGGCAGTTTTAAGACTATCATTGATCAAAAAAATCCGCAAAGAACATTGGCAAAGTTCTTCTTAGTTCTTCTACTTTTGGTGCTTGCTGAACAGCAGATGTGCTCAGAATAGCTCTCAGCTGCAGGACCCTTAGCATTGGAAGGTGTATAAACCTCAGTTCATCTCTTCCTTGTTGTCGCTTTAGCCAGCTGTATTGCTGTTAACCCCTGCAGGCATCCTTAAACATAGGGTGGAGTAATGTAATCCCTTGCAAGATTGCAGCAACTTCCCTCTTAATAGTTACAAGATCTTTTCAATATTCCTGAAAAAAGGCAAAATATAATTTAGCAGAGGCACAAACATTGCGCTGTTAGAATAGACAGAGCAGAGGTGACATATAGACCAGAAAAGAAAACCTGCTTCTGCCAGGCCCAGTAAGGAATATGCTGTAGAATATGTCTGGTACTGTAGTATGTATCTCTAGTTTCACAATGAAAAATACTATTCACAATAGTATTAGTATTAGTAGTACAATTCTACTAGTGATGATAATAATTATAATCAAGAAAAAGCAGAGGTATTTCTGTCAGCAAATTGCCTTTTCCAAAGAAAGAACTGGCACTAACATCAGGATACCTCAGCAGAAAGGGATTAAGGGGTCAAGTATAAATTTGAAAAATCTGTTTCTAATCCTTACATGTGGAAGTGCTTACTTACTCTTTTGAGAAGGCATAATAATAAACTTAAGTAGCAATGGCCTAACAATCAGGCTGTATTCAGGTGGTGGTCTGGGCAGAGTAGCTTTTCTAGGATTCCTGGTGTTCCCTGACTATTTATTACTGCTGCTCCCCTTCACTGCTTTGAACCAGGTGGATACTGACATAGGTAACACACAGACAAACCACAACACGGGACATCAGTGAACTGCACTGTAATTTAACTGAAATGTGGCAGATTAACACAGTTCATGTAGGTGTATATGTGCATAACTGCTAATTACTTTAGATTGTAAACAGGCTGGCTTTACTTACCCTGACATGCAACTTCATAAAACTGATGGTAAAACTCAGTTTGTCTGCCAATCATTCAGCACAGTCCAAAAGGTCTCTTAATAATAAGCTTCTGTACTGCTAATAATTATCCTTTAAAATTGTTTGTTGTTGCTTGGAAACAGCCTTTTATCCCATCTCAGATCACTGAATTGAGATGAGACACAGAGTAAGTTCAGTGGAATGTGTACACTCTTCTCCAGGGCACTCTTGGAAACATGAAAATGAAGAACCTATGTGAATTTTTCCCAAAAAAGTTGGGTTTCCTGCATGATGAGACTGAAGAAAGCCAAAGAAGTGCCAGAATATTACTGTACGGATAGTCACCATAGATCCAAAATATTTCTGGAGCCCTATTTAAATCTGAACGTTTCCTATATTGTTTTGCTGCAGCTCCTGCTGCACTTGGCATCGTGTAAGCAGCCACACAGCAAGACAGTGGTTTCCTCCAACAATCTGCAGGTGGCACAGCATCCCTCCTGGGCAGAGCATTTGGGACTGTCTGATAGTTTATTTGAGCAGGATGATGAGTGTGTGACATGAGATGAATCCAGCATAAGCATGGTGATGTAATTCCTGTGGTTTTTGTTACTCCTTTTATTAGAAGGAAATTTGACTATGAAGGACTTGTATCTAAGTTCCTATAATGCCTGGCTCTGAGTAATCCCCTTCCTCAAAAGGAGGTGTGAAAATCATTACAGGGGAGGTCTTGGTTCAGTGAAGGCTATTAATTTGGAGCCAAACCCTTTGTCAATACCTGCTGTCTCATGATGAGAGATGGGGAGTACCTAGCAGAGAAGCCAAGCCTGAAATATACTTTGGGAAGCTGCCACATCTGCCTTTTTGGTGCTTGTCACTAAAGTATTGCCAGGTGAGGCATAAGGCACATTGTGCTGATGTGCAGCCACTCCAACACGTGCACAAGCCCACCATACCCATCTTCTGTTGCCCTCAGCTGATGAACTGAATGAGAGAATTTCAGTGGGTGGTGTAAGCCTAGTGGGGAAGTTGCAGCTTAGACATGCAAGCAGTCAGATACCTCTAAATTGTAGGTAACTGTGATGGATGTGTATGTGCTGTTCTTTTCTTTCTTCTACTTTCTTACCCTGAGTGGCAGCTGTGGAGTTTAAGCCTCTATCAGAGAAACCACTTCAGCCTCAAAACCATTTTTTACTTCAATTTTTCTCTAATAAATACCTATGTTTAGGAAGCTTCTCAGGTTCAGCCATAGCCTGAGGATACTTTTTGTGTAGTTGGAAGAGAAGCAGAAACTTTGGGCAAGATATTTCATAGTCATTGCAAAATTTTTAATACCTTGTGTGCACGTACAGAATAAGGATCAGATATAATACATATGTATGAACTCCCTTTTAAAATCAGAATTTTGGGAAAAGGCGAGAGCAGGGAGGATGCTCTTTCCTTACCCCTTTATAGGCATTGTAGAAAAGAAAGTTAATAATTTTCTCCAAGGATTTCTCTGGAGTGCTCATCAGTCATCCCCAGAATACTTCCTGGAGTGCCTTAACAGCATACCAACCCAGTTCATTTGCCTTTTGCTTTCTTACTCCCTCCCTACTGGAGGATGTCTATGAAGTGAGAGAATCTTTGAGACACACTTAATTTACCGTTTGCTTGTTTGTGGTTTTATGTATTTGCATTGCTCACCTGGTGCTCAGGAAGAGCAAAGAAGCCCACGTTTCACCTGGAGTGGTAATGAGGCTCTGTATTACTAGAGGGATCTTTTTTTTGGTGTACTTTGGCAATCCTGAGTCCAGCACAGACTGGTTTCCTAAAACAGTCTGTCCTGCTGAAATGTCTTATTTTGAAAATTTTTCTGTGCTATGCAGATGTCTTAAAAAAATTTCAACAGCATTTCTAAGTAAAAAGTAAACATGTGTTTGTAGATTTGGGATGCTGTAGCCTTTATATAAATACACATATGGATAATATGTATACATATATTGTATATATATAAATATATATGTATTATATATATATGTGTGTGTTTGTGTGTGTGTGTGTGCAATACAAAGCTTGGAGTCAATGATTTCTTGAAGGTCTCTTCCAGTATTAATGCTTTTCTCATCTGTGATAATGGAAATTAATGGGCCTTGCATCCAGGACAAACAGTCCTGCTTGAAGATATCCCCTTTCTTAAATGGAAATGCCCAAAACCTACAATTTGCATTGCTTTCTAGGCGAAGGGGAGTGGAAGGATCTCTTTTCAGCCTTTAGGCTTGTCTGTAGATTTGAGCATCCTGTGGTGTATGCATCCCTGGAGGAGGTACAAGTTGGGCAGACATCTGAGAAGCCTCATTCTTCACCGATTATGTAAATCCATCCAAGGCAATTACTGGTGTAAGGAAGAAGTCCTTAATCAGCAAGATATCTGACCCTTAATCAGACCTTTTTCTTTTCACCACACTTTTTTATCCACTGGGCCTAATTGGCAGGGTGTCAGTAGTTTCAAGTCCCTCCTGCTGAGCAGTCTAAGCTCTCACACATGGGTGCTGCTGGGCAGCTCAGGACCTGCTGTTGTCTCTGCTTTGGCAGCATAACTCCTGTTTATCTGTGGAGCAAGTCCTGATGCAACCCAGAGAACAACCTGTGCTCATAGAAACTCCCCCTTCAGTCTCTGGTAGGATGTAATAAAGAGGATGGATTCCCAGTCTTGTCACTTCCCAGCTTAAACTAAGCTAGAATTAAGCTTAAATTAATGAGAAACTAATCATACTGTTTTTTTCAACACTGTCAGAAATGGAAAACCCTGGAAAGGGGAGTTCTCGTAAAAATACCTCTGCAGTGTTGGCTCACTTCTTTCGAGAATAAATCGTGTTGATTTTTACAGGAGATTTCAAGGCTGCTCTCTAGTGGCTGCAACTGTCATGACGCTTTTTGAAGGACGAGCTAGGGTTTTCATTTGTTTTAGCAACAAGTTTCCTGAAAATCAACATGATCCTTCTGATTATTTAATTTATTTTTAAGGAGTTTGCAGTGGGCATTTTTCTCTTTTCATGGTAATTTTTTTACATTCATTGAAGTGTCTTATTTCAAAGAGTTGATAATGGTCTGATGGAAAAGGCAATGTGATTTTGGTTCAGCATTTCTTTCTCCTGTCACAGCTGAGAACCCCCACATATCATTCCCATGACATCTACAGTCATCCTCATTCTTCCCAGCAGGACAGGGTGAGTGGTTCACCCCAGGTCACTGCTTGGTGATGAGAAAGGCTGGCTGTCCTTCCCAAAGAATTGTCTGCTTGTGAGCCCTCCTGCAGGTTGCAGCACCGGTCACTTGTCCTTTTACCTGTCTTTGGGGTCACTGTGCTCAAAACAGTGACCTTCCATGGCGTGCAATGGATTCAGACAGAGAGCAAAAGGAGTTCTCTTTGGCTTTCCTTCAACCAGGAGGGAGCTCAAAGGCCCTATCTGAACCGAGAGTTTATAGGACAGAGTTCCTACTGATCCTACTCTGCCACAGGAGCATTCTGTGCAACCTGCAGGAAACTGCTGCAGGGAAGAGCAGTGCTGGCAATCAACCCAAAGCCTTTCTTGCTTACAAAGCAGATAAAAAGCACTGGAAAAAGAGCAGGCAGCTGTGTTTTAAAAGACACCTTTTTTGGATGTCTCATGCGTGGTCCCTGTGTTGCATTGGCTGAGCGAGAAAAACATCATCTTGTGGTTTTCCAGAATCTGACAAACATTTCCAAATCACAGAAATCTATCCTGTAGGAGGAAACGGGGGTATTTCAAGCAGGTACTTTTGTAAATGGTGGTTTTGTAAAAAGATTTTGTAGGGTTTTGGTGTAGTGGGTTACAGGAAGAGGGGAGAATTTTTTTTAATGTCCATGACCATCCTGATTTACGAGATTGTTTCATAGACTTCATTCCAAACTGGTTCTTCATTCAAAATCTGCTGAAAATGCTTCTCCAGCTGTCTTCTTTGGTAAACAATTTGTGAGTCTTCAGCTTAGAAAGGGTCATTCTTTTTCATGTCATTGCAGGGAAGATAGAGAAGATCAAGCCTCCTCCATCCCCCACCACAGAAGGCCCTGCCTCACAGCTGGACCCTCCACCCGAGGAGTCTGCAGGAGCCCAGCGACCCAAGAACCTGATGCAGACCCTCATGGAGGATTATGAAACGCACAAGACCAAGAGACGGGAAAGGATGGACGACAGTGCGGTAAGCGCAATTATCCTCCTCCCTTTTTGCTGTGATAGAGACCATGACTTGCAGGAACCAACAGACACTGAAAAAGGTTATTTTACCAGAATCTGATCAGGTCACCTTGCAAGTGGGTAAGGATTTTAACACATTGCAAGGGGCAGGTGTTCAAAATGGAAGGATGCAGGCCAGTGAAGAGGAAGAGTGTGTCACTGCAAATATTAAAGGCAACTCATATTACGTTTAATTTTTGTTAATTATGTTAACTAATAATAAGAGCAGTGTGTAGCTGCCCTGTAATTGGCAGATTTTGTTAATTCACACATCACCAAGATACTGCAATGGGTTATTTCAGTGGCACATCAAAATTTGTGGATCAAGTATGTATTCACACCTGTGTTTGTAGACCACCCCCTGCCCTCCACCTCCAAAGTCCTATCCAAGTGTGCTCAGTCTTCAGTGTAAGTTGATAACTTCCCCAGAAACCACCAGTCATGGAACTAGACTGGGAGAGTCTCAGAAGTTCACTTGGATCCTTGCACAGCCGGCATGTTGTTGCTGGATTTGTTGTCTTCCTTCCACACGAGCAGTAGTAGAGTTTTATCTGAATTAAGATGTTCCTTATTAGAGATGCTAATAAGAAGAGCTGCAGATTTTGTAACTGGAAGTATCAAAATTCAGGCAAATCCTTTTTTCCTAAGAGAGCATTAACTGTTTCTTATTCACAGTCATTATTACTGTGCAATGAGTGCAGAAAATAGTAAGATACAAGTTCAGTGTCAGACTCCTTAAATGGACACAGTGTTTGCTGAAGCAGCCAAAATCCTCCAGACATTTTCCGAAGATGTCTGAACAATGACCCTACTGCCAAGGATGCTCCAAACAAACTGCCTTCTAGTAATGTTCACTAAAGGCAGGTTCCTGTTAGGGGTATAGATGTAAGTCAAGGTTTGTAACACGAATACTGCACTAGTGCAGCAGCTTCTAATCGCTATTTGTGAATATTGCACAATAATAAAAGACAATAAAAATTAGAAGGAATGGACTGGAATGGAGGGGTCCTGTTGCCCTTTTGCTGACTAACTAAAAATGTAGATAGATTTGTTTTCAGTGCACACCAGAAAATTTCTGGTCTCATATTCTACTGAGGCCACTGAAAAACAAGGTTTCATTGTCCATCAGACTTCTACACAGGAGGTACTTCAGCTTGTGCACAGGAGCATGGGTCGTTCTGGCTGTGGCATCTGGGGACCACATCTTAGGAAGGAGGCACTCTCTGGTTTCCTCTCCTTCTCCAAAGCACCCAGTGAAATGGGGTGGTCTCACCTGCTCTGGTGAGTGCTGTTTCCTGGCATCTCCCCAGAGCATCTGTCCCTGAAGGCTTTCAGGGCAACTCTTGTGACCTTTACAGAAGCTGAGGGGAGCATTAAAAAGAGTTGGGTATAAAACACCCACTGTGCAAACCAGCACTGGAGCCCCACACTGAGACCATCAGCCTGGTGGCTGCAAACTTCGGAGCAGCTGCTCTGCCAATGGAGTGGCACTCAGCTTATACTCACCCTCTGCCCCTGTGAAGAGTGAAGGTGGCCTGCTCAGCCCCTGAAGTGGTAGCTTGTGGCAGGAATCTTAGGTCCTGCTCATTTATTTACCTGAGCACAGTTCCTCAAGTGCTTGCAGAGCTGCACACGTGCTCCCTGGAAGGTAGACTGGCCACGGTTGTCTCTCCGACAGTTTGGTGTGATGTCCTGTCCAGCGTGCTTGGTCAGTGGTCTGGGCAGTATCTGACCACAGAGGTGTGCTCTGGGTGCCATCTCAGCTCTGCACTGCTGCTAAAGCTGCCCAGCCACTGACAACCCAAAGATGCACAGCCATAGCATTGGTGCCACTCAGACAGCCTGTCATTTTCTGGCTTTAATTTTCAAGGCTCCAGTGAATTTGCAAAGTCCCAGTGCACACCAGTGTCCCACAGTGCTGAGGTTTGTTGTCATTCTCCTCTTCTGTAAGCCCACTGCATAAAGCCAAAGATGATTTTTTTTTGCTGTTGCCCACCCAAAGTCTTCTTAGAGGTCTGTGTCCTGCAGAGCCCAGGGAGAACTTCCTGACATCAGCAGGAGTGTTCTGTTTCTTTTCCCTGGGTTTTTCCGCTCTCCTTTGGTAAACAACTCTGCCATTGACAAGGGAAAGATAATTTTAATAAGAAGTGCTGCACTTGTACCACTGTCAGTTTGAGTGAATATTTTACAGTCCAGGCTAAGCAACTATTTATTTCAAAAACAAATAGCTTTAATTTGTCAGCAGAGAGCATTTGAACAGTGTTCTCAGGAAAAAAGCGTTTCTGTAACTAAAGAAACAAAATAGCCAATCACTGCACTATTTAAAAAAATACATTAAATACAGCAGGAGAAGGAGCATAACTGACAGCCAGACAGACAGCTGCTCCTTGGAGTGTTATGTCCTGAGAGCTGAATGTGAGCATTGCTCATTGTGAGTGAGAACCAGAGACTCCTCAAGTACTGGAAGCAGTCAGTGCCTGGCACAGCAGCCATGGTCTCCTGAACGGAGAGATTTGTAGGAAGGTTTCATGTCCATGGGAACTCCCTTTCATGCTGAGCACCCCAGTAGTACTGATGTACGGAGATCCACTTTCGCCCTGTGTAAGACACAACAAAAGGAGGGTGGTTTCAGTAGGGCATTTACCCTCTGTAGTTTCTCCTTCAGGCATCACCACCTACTGTTTAATGTCTGGCTTCAGTGACTTTAGCCCTACAACGTGGCCTCTCTGGTCGAGGCTTGTGGGTTATGCCTTTCAGAAAAAGAGGGCAAGTCAAGCGCATCTTGGAAGAGCTGTGCTGCTCAGGAAGGGGGGGCAGTTTCTTCCAGAGCATGTGTTGCAGTACAGGTTCAGCAGATGAGTGAAAGGGAAAAAGCAGCAGCAAGGAAATGGGTCAAGCACTGATGGTAAACAAGAGTGAGACTGGCCAAGCAACGTCATTAAAAAAACACCAAACCGGCTAATCTTTACTTTTTATTTTTTATGACACTAAGTTGCTTGAAGTTTTATACTGTGAATGTGCCAGTTCTTGGAATATCTGTAATTTGTTCTTGTTTCCTAGTTATAACATGCTTGTTCAATGTACTAATGCTGGTCTTTTCCCTTTCTACCAGTACACCTGTAAATTACTGTCTAGCAAGGTTACTTCTGAGGTACTTTTCAAGTGCTTGTTTACTTTTGCTTCTTCTTGCATGGTGATTCCAAGTGCATGTTGCTGCAGTTGTCATTTTCATAGTGTGTGTCAGTGCCATTTCACATAAAAAAATGTGTGTGTGTGTGATATTCCCTTGTATCTCTCATCAGCAGATATTTGTGTGGCTGGTTTTCTAACCCTTGGATTCTAGTTACAATTTTTGCCATGGGAGGGGTTGTAATTAAAGGGATGGGAGCTGTTGCCTGGGACTGGAGCATTCCTGAGGTGAGAAATGAGAACTTCCCCTTAATCCCTTTCACCAATTAGCTGGCAAAGCTAAACCTGGGATCCAAGCATCTTCAGATGCTGCATTAAACTCCCATAGCTTTCCTTTGTCTCTGATTACAATGTATTTAATACTATCAAAATCTCTAGTATTTTATAAAGAAATCTGCGCACCATCCTTTCCTCTGTGATAGTCAGATCTGAGTGCATGGCCTCAGTCTCTTTCATATTGTGAACCTTTCATATTGTGTCCCTGTCTGTTGTGATGTGACGATTGATCACAGTCCCACAACTTAGCATCAGTGTTTGTCTGAGGGTGGAATAAACCCAAATCTGCCAAATAAAGGGTATTTATGGTGACATTCAGTATTTCAGCAAAGTAGTAATTGACACAGTCCTTATACCCACAAAACTGGACTTTGCCAAAGGACTTAATTTTAAGAGCAGGTAGTTGTTTCTGCAATGTTCGTTAATGAGGTGCTCACTAATATGTATATTTCAAATGCCTGTAATTTCCTCTGTGATTGTGGTAATGACTGATACTCATTTGTCCAACATCAGCACTTTTTTATAAACCTGAACCTTCAATTTTTTTCCTATTCCATAATATATTTGACCACATCAGCTACCTCAAGACAAGTACATGAACATTTTCTGACCTGGACAGTAAAGCAAAGCAAGTCTATGCCATTTCCTATTCATTAAATAATTTAGAGTGGGTTTTATCACACTGATACAAGCCAGTGATTGATCTTTGTGTATTTATAGATAGTTAAATCAGTGTAAGAGCAGTGTGCTTTCAGAGTCCTGGTTTTAAATAGAGGTTGTGCCTTTTCTCCTCCATAATATATGCACAATAATCTAAGTCAAGATTTGTGAACAGCAAGTAGTGATCAGTGTTCAATGTTGTTTGAGAGGCAGAAGTTCAGGCGTAGTTTTCACAGGCCAGGGTCTTCTGCTGGGCAGAGTTTTGTGTCCACCTTGTGTTATGGTAATGATACGAAGAGTAAGGAGCTGGAAAAGAGTGTGTATGAATGAGAAAGGGGCTAGAAATAAAAAAGACTGTAGGACACAGCAATTCCTCATGCAGGTGAAAGTATGTTCTCTGGCTATTCCCCAGCATCCACCCTCAGACTGAAGAAACCATGTGATTCTCACTGGAAGTCTTTAGCTGAAGCTAAGCAGGTTGTTTCAGAAGCAACAGTAAGACTCAAGACATATATGCTCCTAGTCTCTGCTAACCCCACTGCTGACCTGTGTCTCCTGTTCACCAGAGCCTTCCAAAATACACTCTGGTGCAGGCAGGTGGCTCAGTTTGTAGCTGTGCCAGCTGTGCTTGCACTGGCTTAGGAGCAGGGGCATCCATGCAGTCATCCTGACAGCTCCACTCTGGAAAGCAGAACACAGCCCCCCAGCAGGGCACTGAGTGCTGAAGTTCAGATACCACAGCAGCTACATCCTGCTCATTAGGGTGATGTATTGCATCTCCCCCAGATTCCTGCAGCCCGTACTAGCACATCCCACTGCTTTTTAGAGACCTAAGGGACCCTTATGTAGGATATTTTTATCCTCAAAACCCTCTGCTTTTGGCCTTACAGCTATACATGCATTCAAATGTACAGCACATTAGCTTGATTTTCCTTAATACCAATCATGCTGTAGCAGGTAACTGCAGGAAGGTCACATTTATACAACATTAAAGGCTACTGCTGAAATTTTTTGTGTTACTAAATAGAAGATCAACATACTAGATTTGATGTCATGGGGCACACAGTTAATGTTTTAATACTGAGAACCAGTAATTTAATACTGCCACTGTCTTGTTTCAAGTAAACAAACTTTAATCTCAGATAGCCAGCTCCTCACTGTGTTTAGTAGCAGTAAACAGCATTAAGTGGGTACAGTAAAGAAAATAGTTCCAGTTTTATTTAAAGCATTTCATTTATCATTCCTGAGCAGGAACACTCACATCTGCAGGAGCAGGCAGCCTCTTCTCTGCATTTGTGCTTCCATCTCTTTAAGCACACTGTGCTCCATGAATGTGATTTCTGCAACAACTTTACCACGTAGTACTCACAGATTTTAGACATGCAGACCTTTGCATTTTCTGTTTTCTTTTCTTCTTTTAGTTCTTCCAGATTCAGATGGGAAGAATCAGTTAAATATTAAACCTCAGAAAGACTGTTTGACTTCCATTAGTAGCAAAACATCAGTTTTCTTACTAATGTTCAACAAAAATTGTCATGTACGCTATAGCAGTCAGTTTTATTATTACTCAAAAAATGCCACTATTTCAGTATTTGTGATAAATATTATCTGGGTAAAGAATATATGTATATTGCTTACTACTGTTGTTAGTAAGACAGCACTTATTAAAGCTGTAAGCTGTGTACTGCTTTTGTAAAATCTGATGATGGGAAACTCAGTAGGATGATAGAAACTCTCCTTCTCTAGGATGGATAGAAAAATTATTCATACAGTACCTAAAAGTGGCAGCTGGTTGAAATTCTCTCCCCCCCCCCCAATCCTCAAAAAATAAATTAAATCTTCATGGAAAGAACCTTCTGCAATTCTTAGCGAGACCTTGAGCTGCAACCACAAGATCCAGAAAGACATTTTCTGCAGAGAGGTGAAGAGCAGCTTTTACAGCCCTACATATCTTTTGTCTTTCCCTCACACTTACTTCTGCTCTCCAAGTTGTTCCTCTTCTACCACAGTTGGTATTCAAATCACCTCTGCCAAATAAGACATTTTACATAACGTTGCTTCTTTCCCTGGTGTGGCTTTTTCATTAGGATATAGTTCACAGGCTGAAGAAGCCTAAGCTTAAGTGAGGCACCTGTTTCATGATCTTCCTGCTGCGTGCAGTTATGGCTCTGGCTGCCTTAGGACATACACCCTGAGCACCGAGCCTGCCCCTGCCTACACCCACTCAGCTGATCCAGGGCATTATCAAGGAGGGTGCTTGTGGAGCATTGAGATAGCATTTTTGACTTGCTGTGGAGGGCCTGGGGGTGCTGCACTCATTACGGATCTAGAGTCAGCCCTGATACTGGCCAAATTTATTTTAAAATTGAGATAGTTGGCTATTTTTAGGCACGCAGTTTCCTGGGTCATGATTTCAACGCTCCATTGAGGTGTCCCAATTCCCCACTCAGTCATTCCAGTTGCATGCTATAATTATGCCACTGTTTCCTCCAGAGGGTCTAAAACTGTCACAGCCTTGTAAAAACAAGGGTTGTTTTAGGTCAAACACTCTTTTCAATAGATTAGAAGAATAATTCTGGAATAACTGTTCAAAAGGATCTTTACTTTATGTTCTGTACCATTTTGTGTTAATACTGAACGAGACTTGCTTTCCTGCAAGGTACAAGTCCACACACACTATGGTACCTCTGATATGAATCTGGATACAGTTTTGCTTGGAAAGCCAGCGGCATTTGTAGAAGCTGACAAACTTTGGGGCAGGTGTGCAGACCGGGGATAAATGGAAGAAACCCTACTGCCATCTTTTAAGGCGAATAGAAACTCACTGATCCAAAGCAGGAATCTTCAAAGTTCATGTGTCCTGACTTTTGCAATCTGTCACCAGAGACCCTCACAATAGTGTGATGTCCAGCAAAGAAGCTGCTGATTTCAGGCTGTTCTAAACTATGTAAAATCCATTTTATTTTCAGCTGGCGTATTTTGCAGGCCGAATTCCACAGACCTTATTTAAAAACACAGTGGCAGTTTTAGTTTGAAATTTGTGCTGAATGATGCACTGATACCCACTCCCAGTTTTGCTCCTCCATTGTTCAGTTGGGGTGTCTTTTCTTGGTTTAGGCATTCTGCAGTGGGAGTAACTTCAGTACACAGCTTACAGGCTGTCTCAGACCAATCTTTTCCTACTGACCCCTTCCCTTCCCTTCCCTTCCCTTCCCACTATACAGGATACATTTGCCCCTCTTCTAGGAAAAACAGAAGCCACTCAGCCCTTCTGGTGGTTGTTCTGTAAAAAGAGGAGGCATGATTTTGGGCAAAATTTCACAACACAGTGCCGCTAGTGGAACTGGACTAACTTTGTAGCCATGGTCATTGAGATGGAGCTTTTGTTAAAGTTTGTCATTGTTGGCCAGATTTTGTCTTTAGTTCTTTGGCTTGTTCAGAGTCATAGTCAAAAGAAACTAAGAGGGCAAAGAAATACTAATGCTGGCAAACTCCATCCTATCTTCAGCTCCTGAATGAAGGTTCAGGGGTTACAAATGGCATAAATGCAGTAGTGCATTCTCATTCCTGCAAAGTTATGGTGGCCTGTAATTTCAGCTGGCAGTTCATAGCTGATTTTCTGATACTGCCTGTACAGCAGCCTAGTACGTATGTACTCTTCCAACCACAGCTTGTCACAAGGGGGAAGAAGAATTTCTTTAGTATTAAATTATTTTTACTTTTGTTCTAGTTAAGGCTTATGTCCTCACTGCATGTGACTTTCTTCACAGAAGAATAACATACCATCATCCTATCTCAAAAGGTCATCTACTCTTCTGCAGTCAGGGAGTGTGCAGAGCAGCTTGCAGGAAGCATTAGGGATGATGGATGGCCTTCATTGCTTAGGTGAAAAGTCATGTATTTGTTGTGGGATTTTTTTTAACTGACATAAAAAGCTTCCACAGTTTGCTTCTTTGGGAGGGATGGTTGAAGCACACTGAGGGCAATTGACATTGCTGGCTCTGTAGTTTCATTATGGAGCTGTTATTCAGTGTTGGTCAGAAAATAACATTGCCATGTGCTTCTGTAAGAAGGCTCCAGGCCCCTTTATATCTCATTCTACCCTGTGGAAAAGACCCACAGCCATGCATTGTTTGCTGAGGAGTACCTCAGACACATCACAATTATGCCTTTTAGTGTTGTCTTGTTTTCTCTTTGATTTTCTCAAAACACGTGTCAAAACTGTATCTTATATTTTTATTTAATTGTTCATGTGTGTGCATATGTACAAATAGATACACAATGTGTGCATATACCTTGTGTGTATGATGTGTGTATATGAAATACATATAAATGTATCGGGCCCATCTTGTACCAGGCTTTGTAGGCCTTCCTCATGTAAATCTGCTTTCCCATGTGCGTGGAGTGATTTTTCACTCCAGGAACACTTGGATCACAGTGTGCTGTAGCTGCAGCCCCACGACCACCAGAAGGGGCCAGGGCAGGGGCTGGGGGCAGGCACTGCCTAGTCCTGCCTGAGAGGGTGATGTGCTGAAATGGGTGGCTGTCCGCTTCCTGGGCCTCATCTGCAGCTCTGGAGCAGCCTCTGGACAAAGCTGCAGGATGGTTGCTGGTTGCTGGTTGCTCCTGATACTGAAGATGTGCAGTTTTAGTTTGAAACTAAACTAAACTTGGCGCTGGGGAGAGGGCCAAGACCTGGACAGGGCAAGTGCAGCTGTGCTGGTAGAGATCAGCTGGGGCTCCCTTGCAGAGAGCTGGATGCTGCCAGACAACTCCTATCACTTCTGTCCTCCTGTGGTATGGCTTTGCTCCTGTGTGCCATCCCCCCACTTCCACACCAGCAAGTGCTTCCATTGCATGTCTTCCTTTTCTGCACAGGGTGTGCCACTGGAACCCTGTGGGGCGGGCTGGCCTGGCTGGCCCCTGCCCACCTGGCTGGTCTCTGCCTGCCTGGGTGCACAGAGTGTGGGACACCCTGAGGGCAGATCCAGCTGAGTGACATCCTGTGCTTTCCTTTTCTCTCCTGACCAGGTCCTCGAGGCAACCAGGGTGAACCGCAGGAAGAGCGCTCTGGCGTTGCGCTGGGAAGCTGGCATTTATGCCAACCGAGAGGAGGACGAGTAACCACACTGCAGTGTGAAGACAGCAGCCAGGCATGCCAGAACCAAAAAAAAAGAGAAAGGAAGAAAGGAAAAAAAAAAAAAGCAAACACAAAAACCCACCATGAAAGCAGCAGCATTTTAGTCCAATATTTATTAAAAACACAACAAACTCGATGCACATAGACACAGAAATGATCCAGCTCCTGGCAATCCTAAAACTACAGGAAAAAACACACCTAGAAAACAGCCCCTTCTTCTTCCCTCCATCTCCCCTCTGAAATAATGCAATGGAGAGGGTGCAGGGGGTGGGAGCCCTTGGGGGTGGGCACAAGAGGTGATTGCGCCCATGGACCAGATAGGCTGCAGGCATGTGTCAGGAAGTCATTCGTGGAGGAGTCTGCAGCCAGGGCTCACACCTGTATTTCTCGCTGACTGAATTGCCAGCCCTGCTTGCCCCCAGGACCAGGGTCCACCCAGCAGCTCCTGTCAGAACCTCCTGCAGTTCCTTCGCCTCCCACAGCTGCTGCGCAAGACCGTCAGCATTAATCCGGCATACTCTTATCCAGCACACAAAGATACTGCCCTCTGTTCTGTTTCTTTGAGGAGACTGAAGGGTTGGGTTTGGGATTGGGTTGGTTGTTTTTGGCAGGGGGGGGGTTCTGCTCCCCTTTCTAGTAATTTATCTGTTTAAAACAAGAAAAACCCAACAAACAGGGAGGCAGTTACTGCAAAAGTACAATCCAGCAAACTCAGTCAAACAATCCTTGTGTTGCAAACACAAGCCATCACAATTTAGGAGTGGAATAGATGGGGATGAGAGCTAAGCCAAATGGATTACCTTAGCTTTAGGATCCTATATGCTTGCAATATCACCTGAACTCCAGGTTCTCAGAGCATATTTACGCAACAAAGTTTCTAAGTAGAAAATCTGTATTTAGCGGATGACAACTATTTTTTGATGGTGGGGTGGGAAAGAATGGCATATGTGTAAAATCTTTGAAGATGGATAATTTGAAGTAGAAAGGTAGTGGGAAAGGGATACAAATAAAGGACATTTAATTTTTAAATGAGGCAATAAATGAACTAAGCCAGACTCTGGCCTAGAAAGAGGTATGAAATAAAGAAGAAAGAGAGTTATGTCTTCAACTATATTTATACAACTTAAAAAGCCTTTGAAGTAGAGTGCTTTGTGGAAGTCTTCACGTTTCCAGGCAACAAAAAAGCTAAAGGGCAAAATGAATTAGAAGGAATGAGCAAGGAAGAGCAGACAAGGGAAGAAAATATTATTTTAGCTGTTCAGCCAGTGTTTTCAGTGCTACAAGCAAACCATAGAGCCTTTAGTTATTGCTTAGGCTTGGGATCAGCAGTGAAGGATTAGTGTGGATGTGTTTGTGTGTGTGTGTGTGTGTGTGTGTGTGTGTGTGTGTGTGTGTGTGTGAATGTGTGGGGGAGTGTGTGGGGGAGTGCATGGGGCTGGCATACCACAAAGTGTATGGCAGTGCGTGTACTGATTATTTTCTCCACAGCTGTTTACCAGCTATAGGGGTGAGTGCTATTTTTTTTTTTTTTTCCGAAAGGGGATATAAAAATAAGGCACTGAGTTAATGCAGTATTTGTGATATTAAAATTTGACCCAACATGGTATTTGCATGAGTCACAATTGCAAAGTATTGACCAGTTTTGTAAGCTGACGATTAGGAAAAGAAATGTGGTATTTATTCTTGTGCTTCGTATTTGTATGTAGTATAGAGGCTGCGGGTTTACTCCTTCTTATCACCAAGCAATACAATAGGAATATTTTACAACTGGGAACCATAATTTCTGGACTAGAAACCAAAAAATTTGGGAGGTGATGGGGAAAAAAGACACCAAACCTTTTTTCTCTAAAAAATATTTTTTCTTTTTTTATAATCAATTATTATTTCAATAACTTCTAAAAAGTCATCAGCCACAATACTGTGTCCTCTCTAAGCCATTCCTTGGTTTCATGACCTTCTGTGCTGTTTTATCCTGAAACAGTGAGATCATTTAAAATGAGTACCAATACTGTGAACATACTTGTGGTGCTTTTTTTAAATAAACACAGAGCTTGCAACCAAATTATTCACCACTACCACCACCCTTCAGTTCCTCCAGCTTGTGATTTCTGTCCATGGACACTTATAATTTTCAGGCTTACTTTCAGGGAACTGTAGTAAATACATTTAGATTGACTCAGTTCTTTCCATTTCTGGAAAGTGCTGGAAAGTCTGTAAGTGCTACTGAACTGAAGAAAACCTGCTGAACCGAGAATTCACTGTGATGAGGGCAGCGAGTTTACCTCAAGGAGAGCCACCATGGGGAGGTTACTTACATGCCTGTGAAGGAGTTATGTATCTAATGAAGTGGACCTGTTTTTCAGGCATGGCAGTCAAGGGTGAATCAAGGGTAATTCCTGTCTCAAGGCAGGTTGTTACCACACAGCTGTAGGAAAAGCACCAGCACCAGTGCAGCACTGGTGAGACCATATGTCACATAGCTGCAGATGTGAGCTCCACACACCTGTGTCAAGAGGATTCCTGGCCTTTGGGGAGAGCTTAAGGGAGAAAATATAGTTTTCTCAGAAGAGGAGATGGCCTCTCTCATGTGGTGGTCTTGCATTAATCAGATTTTTATTACCCCAGTATTTGCTCCTGAAAGCTGGGTCAGCCCTGGACTACCTTCCCAGGAACTTGCATCTTTATTTTCTTTAGTATGTACGTTTGTTTTTCCCTCCAGCTTTCTCACTGGAAGCCAGTGACAATAATCACCTATCATAAGACATCTTTTCATGCTTTGTTCTCTGTGATAGAAACATTTGCTTTCAGCCCCTGCAACAAAAATATTTCAGTCCAGGACAGGCAGAGTTTTCACCCAGCAGTTTTTCTCTTCCAGAAATTATGGACACTTATAGTCAGCAGCACATTTAGTGCTGTGGTAACAAGAGTGAGATGCAGTTTACTTGCCTCTGTTATTTCATTTGCATGCTACCAAGCTTAGGTGTTTATAAGTATACGGCAGTAATACATATCTATCTATATATGATTATATCAAATGCAACAAAAGAGCACTATTGCAGAGTTAACTTTGTCTCCACAAAAGAAATGCTCAGATCCTTTCCCGTGGCAAAGACTGGTTTTAATGAAACTGTGTATTGAAAAATAGTTAAGCATTAGCATTTGTGATGATAATGGGTTTGAGGTTACAGTGCTGGTTTTCTGAACAATTTGTTTTTAAAGCTGCTGATTTGGGCTTCATCTTGCTCTGTACTGACATTTTTGAGGGAAAATAGAGTAGTATTGACATGTTTGGCAATCAAAAGGCAGCATCTTTGTCATGACTTACCAACCAGTTTCAACAATACCTGGCTTTCTGTATGTTAACCACTTAAATGTTATCCTGCTTCTGTTTTATAGTGACTGTGAGGCCTACAATGCAAGTATATAATTATTTTCTCATTAAAATAGAAACCTGTGTTGTGTTTCTATAAAACTGCCTGTTTCTTCATGTTATTACAGGAAGATGTGCCCCTGAAAGCTCCATGTAGCTGGAAGAGAGTGGCCTGTGTCCCACTTCCGTGGCAGTCAGTCCGTCTCTTCCCGTGGTTCTTGACTTGGTGTCTCTCTCTTTGTCTAGAGGTGGGAGAGATCTCTCCCCATTTGATGATGTCAGTTGCAGGAACAAGAGCACCATGAATATTTCTTTTCTACTGTCATGCTTGTGGAGGTTTGCAGAGGCCAAATATGATGAATGTCATGACCTTTCTTTCCTTGCTTCCTTCACCCCTGCAGGAACCCCACTGTCCTGCATGGCAGAGCACACCCCTTCAGCCAGTCGTCCATTTGTCACACGCCTGGCTGCAGCAACCAGCTGCTTGTCCCTTGGCCCTCACGCCCCCTTCATGGCCAGCCGGACAAGGGGAGATCCTGATGTCCCTTACCCCTGCCAGGAAGCTGCTGCCAGCTTTTCCCTGTAAGAGCTGGGAGGTGCCAGAGCACCGGGTGCACCTCAGAAGGGCCACAGGGACTTGTTGGGATCTAGCCAGGTTCATGCCAGCCTCTGCCCCTCCCTGTGCCGGAACAGTCAAGTATTTAATTACAACCCTCTGTGGGAAGCAGCAGAGGACACTGGTGATTTTGGTGGGAGTTGCCTAGGGACAAGTGCTGCCTCCAGTTCATGCTCTCCATAACACCAGCCCTCTTTTCCTTGTGCAGATAGAATCAGAAATACCTATGGAGAAAATCAGTTGTGGATTTACTTGCCAGTTAGTAAATGGAAATTAAGAAATGGGCTAGAGAACAAGCTTGAAAATTTACCCACCAATTCCAATCCCTCTGTCTTTGAAAAAAAAAAAGTGTTGCTGTCTTCTCAACACAGGAGAGGCTTTCTGTCTTCCTCTGTCTTGCCTTGCCCTGTACCAAGAAGGATGGTGTATTGGACTTAGTGGCACGCAGTGGGAAGAGGAACTCCCAGGCATCTTCTTTGGATTTTAACTGAGTTAAAAGTGAAAACTGGACTTTTGCAAACGAGCATTCCGACATTGCAAAAGTAATTCAATGACACCAGCGGGTGGCAGCAGGTCAGGAATTTTGCAGTTAGTTCTGCTTTTATCAGCTGTTGTTATCTGTTTCATAACACAGGGCATTTAAAGTCCTTGTCACCCCATTGCATAGTTGAAATGGCATGTACCAAACTTTAGAGTGTTTTTTACACTGTAGGTAAGGACTATAAAAGAGCATTTTATCAATAATTTCTGGCATAGCCACACAGAAGTTGAAGATATTGCACCCCATTTAGTTTCAGGTGGCTTTAAGAGGCCCCAGAACAATGGGAAAGCAAATGGAGAGGCAAAAAAATCTCTACAGAGCGAGATTTGATGAAACTACTTTAAAAGGAGGGACAGCATTCAATACAGTGTTTTCTGTTGTGAATGGGCACAGGAGATTAAAAACCCATACAAACAGGGATCTATAATGTAAGGAGAGCAAGTCAGAGTACCACAAGATGTAACAGGGTGAGGGACAGGGATAGGTGGGAACAGAACTACAAGTACAAGCATGAACTTTAGCACTGAAGACTGCCACTTATGTTCTAGCTGCTGAATTGTCTGAGGGGGGCAGTGCAGGAAATTACTAGCAGTCAGCATCCAGCCCTCCACTCCTTCCCAGGCTAAAGGCTGAAAACGTCCTGGTGTTTCACATGGCTCAAGACTGAGATCCAAGGGCTATCCTGTCACTTCAGCAATAGCATAGGGGGAAAACAAACAAAATGCTAAACAGCAAACAAGCAGCAGCAGAAAAACAACCACAATGCCTTCTAGAGCTCATGATCTGCTGCTAGCTCTGACTGAGCACTGATTATCATAACCTACTGCTTTATCAACTTCTCTCTTTAGGAAGAGAGCTTTTGCAGTAGGCACTAAGCAGTGTGAGAGCTCCTGCTCTACTCCAGGCATGTGTCAGCTCTGCAGTGAATTGAGACTGGTATGCCACCAGGAGCTGGAAATTATTCAGGCTTTGTTCCAATCTAGAGTGTGGGAGCAGTGGCAAGAAAAATCGATGGAGGAAGAAAAATGTGCAAAGCTGCCTTGTCCCATTCTCTGTGACTGCAAATGGGATGGGGAGCATTGCGTGGTGGGGATTTCTGCGGCAGCAGTGACATCTGCAGGGGGGATTGCACTGAACGTGGTGAGAGCTTCATTTCCAAGGATGGCCCCTGGAAGACAGATCCCGGGGCAGCCAGCACATGGGAGGGACGTGGTGAGTGATGCCCCAGCACCCGGGCCCGTTCAGTGCTGAGCTCACTGCTGTAGCACCCCTGCCACTAATGCAGGAAGAGAGCCATGGCACATCTCACAAGCCTCCCATGGGGAGACAGTTGGGATTCCTAGAAAAAGCAGCTGTGCCCTGGTCATGCCCCCCTTCCTACAGGAGCTCCTGGGGCACACCAGTCCTGCCAGGAAGCCACTGCTGGGAACAGCTGCAGGCTCTGTGTTGTCTCGGCAGGCAGCTTGGTGCGGGATCATGGTCGAACACACACAACACCTGACAAGGGGCTTTACTTCACTGAACTCTTGTGGGGACTGTTACTGGCTGAGAAGGTGGATGCAAAGCAGGGGAAAGGAGCAGGGGGCTGGAAACTGCTCCACAAAATGGGGAGGATTTGATACTGAGCCACAGCAGACACAGCAGAGCAATGCTATCCCCACTGGGTGTTACTGTGACCCAGAGTGAGCCAGGATGCTTATGTACAAATGACCCCACAAGTACTTCTTCCTCTTGTAGTATCTGAGAAATCTGAACTCTCTTGTATTAAAATGAGTATCAAGTCCTCAATCTGCAAGTGAACCACACTAAACCAGGAAAATGTTAGCAAAAACACATGGATAATGACAAGACCTTGATTAAACAGCCTTTCACGGGACTCACATAAGACTTCCAAAGTGTTGCTGGCAACAATGTTGCAGTGCTCAAAATGATTGCAGTTGTTAGAAAGTGGGAAAGAGGTCTTTGCGAAGCATTATCTCCATGGAGAAAGGTGGAGTTTCCAGATATGCAATGGGAGTTGACTTGCTGGACAGCTTTGTAACCCCCACATTGTGTGGAGGTGGCAGAAAGTATTCAGCCCTGTTTAATTGGAGTGAAAGAAGGAAGACGTTAAAGTAGGGCACTTGCTCACTCTCTGAGAAGGCTTGTTTGCTTCTAAGACCAGGATTTTGGGGTACAGCACCAGCCCAAGGTGGACCCAGACTTTCACAGTATTCCCCTTTCCTGCTCCCTACTATCTCCTTGCCTTCTGCTGTTCCCTTCTGGTTCCCACATGCTGCTGCTGACCCCCAGAATATGGCTGGTTTTGGGCACCAAGACAAGGTGGTTTCTGTGGTGAGATGTATCTCACCTTGCCTGCGCTGAGCCTGCTGAGTGACCCCCACCGCGAGCCCCCATCAGCTGCCAGACAGACTCCCGCCCAGGCTGGTCTCCTCTCCTCGGGTGTTTCACTGGACTTACACTTTGGCAAATCATCCCATTGTCCGTCCCATGGAAGATGGATGAACTGAGAATCATGAGATAAACCTGAAATGGACTAAATCCAAATGTTCCAAAGCACTTAGATAGCGATATACCTGTAAGGGCCTTGCTCTCTGAGAGCCACACAGCACTAAACTCAGCTGGAAGCTCACCAAAGCACTTAGATAGCGATATACCTGTTGTAAGGGCCTTGCTCTCTGAGAGCCACACAGCACTAAACTCAGCTGGAAGCTCATGGACTGTGCTTGTGCCAGTTTACTATAAAATGATGAGGATATGTTAGTGGGACTGACTGGAAAGGGTGTTGGGGGAGAGCCACGTGAAACAAAACTCTTCTCTTTGTTGTACTGCTCATGCCAAAAGGGCATGATTTGTGCTTTTCTTTAATGCTGTGTTTGAGGAAAACAACTGCTGAATAGAAGGTAGGCTGAGCTTGTGGTGCAGAGGGTAGTTTTCAAAGAAAAAGGTAATTTCAAGTTGTGGGACTTGCTGTATAAAGAAAGTGAGGATTAGTAATGCAGGTCAGAGTGGTATAAACAGTGGAAAACGGAAAGATAAATAGGGGGAAATCATGCTGATAGGAATTTTTCATGGAGGAAGCCATTTTAGAAGCCAGCTGAAAGCATGATCAGGCAAAGTTTCAGCAGGGGTGGAAAGTATACTTCAAAAAGCATATTTATCCAAGTTCCCTGGAAACCACAAAAAACCTCTTGTCAGTTAAACATAAATTTCACCTGCTGCCAGGTCTGAACTGTGGTGGCCAAGATTCAGCTCAGCTGTCCTTCTTAGCCACTGTTTGCTGGGTCAGTTTTCAGCAGAAAGGAATCAGGAAATAGCTGAATGATATCATTGTTCATGAGCCTCATAATTTATTGACGTGAGGACTCAGAGTTTATAAATTAAAAGAGATGTCAATAAAAGTCTAAGCTTTCCTGGGTGTTTCTGAGGAATTTATTGTAAAGATGCTCAAGCACTAAAGGACCAAAACAGCATTTCAGTACCCTAGTGGGCTCTATTTTTCCAATCCTGTTTAATCTCTTGTTCCCTTCCTGTAATGAAATATTAAATCAGAATGGTTTTAAAATGTCAGGAGCTCAGTTTATTCTCCAGGCCCTAGGTTGCCCTGGTTATGAGTCCTTGCAGACTTAAAGTTCATTGCCAGACATGACTTGCTAGCTGCTAACAGTTCCCACTGGCATCTTGGAGGTGAAGTCCAACATAAAATCCCTGAAGGATCCCTGACAGCTATTTACCCTTGGAAAGTGGTGGTATGGAAGTACATCAGGTGTGGCAGTGAGAGGCGTGATCCCGCATCCCCCACACAAGGTCCTGGCCCTGCGACAGCAAAGCAACCTCATCTACAGCAGAGCAAGAGCAGCACGGTCCTCTGGAGGGCTCATGGTGTGACCCTCAGCTGGGTCCTGTGGCTCTTCAGCAAACAGGAGTGTCTCAAGTCCTAAAATG